CCTACATTTCCCTGTTTTAACTGGTTGCAAATGTTTCCAAATCGATCTGTGTATCACAGCTGTGAGCTCAGGCTTCAACAGCTGCTGTTGGGGAAATGATCACTGCTCAATTTGCCTTGCAGGGAAATCAGTGTATATCATTTCATATCCTTTCCATATCTAATTAAACCACTTTACATTTTGATTAAACTATTCTGGTTCTAACTATAGTAAAACACAGACAGAGATTACCTTGGTTACAGACATTATGTATAAGATTAACTTTATCTCACTTAACACCAAATATATATATATATATATATATATATATATAGGACAACCTGCCAATATATACTTTTAACACTTATATTAATTCCTAATTTAGGAATTTATTTTAATTTTGAACAGTGAGTAATTAATTCCTGACTTGGTATTTAAGAAGTCATCACCTTGTGCTGCTTAAATAGTCAAAATTAATACATGTAATTCAATTTACAAATAAATTAAAAGCAGCAGAACAATACCAACAAGTTTCATTTAACTGTATGGGGTAGTTTGAATGATATGTGGATTAAATATCTTTGAAACTGAAGATGAATGCTTTGTCTGGTTAAAAATTATTGTGTTTTCTAACTAGCTACAATGAGGGATGATTCACCAATCCCTAATTTAATCCCATAGCCATGAATTCTACTTTTTAATAAAATAAAATAAAATTTCCTTAGTTATGCAAGTCATGTGCTTAAAATATTAAACATGCATAAAAAGCCAAAAATAATGAAATGCTGGAGTAATCATGAGACAGTCCGCAGAGACTTCCTGGTTTTTACATGTCTGCAGTTTGAACCAGGCTTTGTGTTTACCCGGCACAAGTCCATGTTTCTTTGTGTCTCAACCCTCATTACAGTGTCTGCCAAAGAACATGTGAGACTACAGGGTATTGCGGCTCACCGGCATCCCCGGCAAACCCGGCAGCAGACAGACAGCACAGCTGGGACATGGAGCCCCACCTGTTCCACATCAAAACAGCCAATTATGCTTCAGTACAGCAGGCCCCAACCCAAGCTGCTGTTTAGCTTTTTTTAGGCTGAATTACATCAGCCCACTGTTTCAACTGGCATAACTTGCACCTTTCCATTGGTAGAGGGGTGTTTAAGAAGGAGAATTGGTATCTCATCCGACTTCTGCATAAGCACTTCTTACACATACGCATGACACCAGAGCAGTGGTGCAAGTCGCAACAGGTGACCTATGTCAGTTTGGCCTGAGCTGTCCTCCGCACTGCAACGGCGACCCAGCAAAGTTCACAGTTGGAGTATTGCTTAGCTTTTCGTCTGTAATGGTTAGAGAAAATCTTGTTATTGTGGTACAATGACAAGTAATATCCACTCTACTGTTCATTTTTAAATACAGTGAGGCAAGATCATTTTATAACCTAAAATTACCCCCCCCCCCTTCAGCAAATGCAGAATACGGGAGGAGAAATGCATTAAAGCCAGTTACAGACAGGGCTTATTGCGCAGGATCATGACATACAGCCATACAGTCTGGCATAAGCTAAGTATCTGAAACCGCCGCTAATTGCCAGACAGAGTGAGGTTTCCACAAAGATCTATTGAATGCGCCTGTGGCAATATCTTCATGGCATTCAGTATTTTTAATATTAATTTCTGAAAAGGAACTTTGCTTAATATTGACTGGATAGTATTCAGGTTCATGTAATATACCATATTTCTAAGGTTAGCATGATATGGATTTACAATAAATATATGAGTTCAATACAACATAACGAAGTGATACACTGAAGAGACAGATGGTTTGAGGAAAGACAGGCTTTGGGGCAGACAAGACAAACCTTCTGCTGTTATAACTACCTGCCTTTTCACTCCTGACTGATTCCTAAAAGGGTTAATTAAGTAAATGATTATTTGGGGGTCTTGTTAATTAGGCCCACCTGTAGATGAGGAAACAACCAGATGGTCCAAAGAAACAAAGAGACTTGGGGATTGGC